CACATGCACCCCTGCGCCCGTGCCCGCCAGCTGCTCATCTTTCTCTCCCTTCGAGGCACCGGTGTCTGGCAGGTGTAGGCTTCACTGTCTCCCTCACCGTGCCGGGACGCCTCTGGTCCCAGGGACGCACGACCGTGCAGGACACCTGCTCCCTCGGCCAAAAAAGCAGGAGTTCAGGTAGCCTGTGCCCAGGGCCCTGCGCCGTCCGTGTCGGCACCGGGAGCGTCAGCGTGCGGGGGTGACTGTTAACGGCGCAGCCTCCATCCCGCTCCCAAGCGCTTGCTCCGAGCTCGATGCCACCCACACGCTGCTCACCGGGTGACCAGGTCGGTGTCCCACGGCCCCTGCGTGGCGCAGGTGCGGCTGAGCAGGCTCTGTGCGGGCGGCCATCGTGCAGCACTGTGCCACGCAGTCAGCAGGCCGGCTTCGTCCTCCATTTCAGCCAGGGTGCTGGCTCCCCTCCAGAGCAGCTGCTGAGCCATGCCCAGCGAGGCCCCCGGCTCCATCCTCCCTCCATCTCTGGCAGCAGCTGCTCGCAGTTGTGTTAGGCCAGGGGGAGGGAGTCCAGGGCCATCCGAGGCAGGCAGGGTACTTCTGGGGACCGTGCTTTGCTCTGCCCTAGCCTGGGAAAGCTGAGCAGCCAGCTGAAATTGAGGGCCTGTTGCAGAGCTTCTTGTGTCCTGGAGCTGTGGGCTGGTGCCGCCTTTCCTTGCTTTCAGTTTACCATGCTGGGGCAGAGTGGGCATGAGCAAACAGCTGTAGGCAGAGCTCTTCAAGAGTGTGAGGCTGAAGGAAACTGAAGATGGGCTGATTTCTTCCCTCCCACCCCACAGGACAGCCAGACTAAAAATAATCCTTTGCCTCATGCTGTGCATGAAAAAAAAGGAGTCTAAAAAGAGAGCAGTCCTGGATCATAGCAGTTAAGGACCTGCTTGGGTTAAAAGCATGGGTATAGTCTTGTGTGCCTGGTGGGGGGAGAATATAACCAGTGCCACTGGCTGGGAAATCCCATGGAGAAGGCGGCATGTACCCTTCACGGTGGCAGAGACTAACTGGTGTGATGAGCTACTGGAAGAGGCAGTAGCATCACAAGTGCTTGGAGGCTGTCCAGCCTGCCCCATCATATCCCCATGTGCAGCCTAGGAGCTTGGTTTCAGCCAACACGTGCCACCAGGATGGACTGGCCAGGAGTCTCAGGAGCACTTTGGCTAGGAGTCTGTGGGTTTGGAACAAACCAGGCACAGAGGATGGGAGAAGAGTCTATGTACCACCCCTACCCCCCCCTTCTTTTAACCATCCACACTAGCTGGGGAGAGCAGGGGCAGAAGGGGGGCCGAGGGTGGGGATGGGGAATCCTAGCAACTCCCTGATGGCCCTGCCTGTTCCTCCATGCAGGATGGTTCCTCCACCACCTGTCAGCAAGCCCCACGTGTGCCTCTCCACTGTGCTCATCATGACCAGCCTCATCCTAATGGATGCCTACCTGGTGGAGCAGAGCCAGGGCTCCAGGAAGCTGGGCATCTGTGTCATGGTGGCAGTGGGTGATGTGTGCTTCCTGCTGGTGCTCCGCTATGTGGCCATCTGGGTCGGGGCAGAGGTAAAGACAGCTAAACGGGGCTACGCCATGATCCTCTGGTTCCTGTATGTCTTTGTTCTGGAGATCAAAGTCTACTTTGTATACCAGAACTATAAAGCTGACCGAAAAAGCCTGGATCTCATAGCCCGCAAAGCTCTGACCTTGCTGCTCTCCATCTGCATCCCAGCCCTCTACATGTTGTTGGTGGCCACAGAGCACATGGAGTACGTCAGGACATTCAAGAAGAAAGAAGATCTCCGCAACCGCCTCTTCTGGGTCATTGTGGACATGCTGGATGTGCTGGACATCCAAGCCAACCTGTGGGAGCCCCAGAAGAAGGGGCTGCCGCTCTGGGCTGAGGGCATCATGTTCTTCTACTGCTACATCTTGCTCCTGGTCCTCCCTTGTGTGTCCCTCTGTGAGATCAGCATGCAAGGGATTGGCATCATGCCGCACCGGATGATGCTGTACCCCATGCTGAGCATGCTCACTGTCAACATCACCACCATCTTCATCAGAGGCAGCAACATGGTCTTCTTCAGGGACGCCCGGGTCTCCAGCATCTTCATGGGCAAGAACATGCTGGCCATTGGGCTGAAGGTCTGTACGTTTGTGCAGTACCAGCGGCACCGGCACCACGCGCCCCTGGGGCCGGACCTGGCCTTGCAGCACAGCGCCCAGGCCCAGCCCTCCCCAGGGCTGCACATGGCCCGGGACCAGCCTGCCTGCCCCGAGGAACTGGCCCAGGACAACACGTGACAAGCCAGCAGGAGCCACAGCCTGGGCACCGTCAAGCCTGGCTGTACCCGGAAGCCTGAGGTGGGCCGCTGAGCTCTCCGCTTGAACAGTGGGCAGTGACCTGCTCCCTTTGGCCCTGGGTGAAGCTGCTCTGGTCCCCAAGGATCGCGTGGCGTGGGCCTCCCGTAGCAGCCACTGTAAGGCCGCAGTTTGGGACCTGAGCACCCCACCAAGTGAGATGGTCAGCGGAGCAGAGGCAGCCAGGTTTGTCTGCCATGCCTGGCTGGGGCCAGGCAGCCCTACCCTGCGCTGGGGTCCCCTGCCAGCACTCCCCCCACAGCACTGCCCTCCAGCCAGCCAGGGCTCAGGTCGGGAGGCTGCACAGGGACGCTGCTGGTCACCTGCACTGCTGCTGTGGTTGGCCCTCGCTTCTGCTCAGTGCTTGGCAGCAGCTGGCTCCCTGCTGCGTGAGCTGAGGTCCCCATGCTGGGGGAGTGAGGACGGGGCCTCCCCCTGCCTGTCATCCCTCTTGGCCAGCTGCAGGCCCGGGGCACCCAGAGGGGGTGACTGTCCTTTTTTCAGATCTTCCTCTTTGCAATAAAAGACCTGAGCCCTGCAGCCTCTTCCTGTCTGTGTCCCTGCCAGCAGGCAGGTCACCCTCAGCTCCCGTGGGTGCTGGGGTGCCTCGCGTGCCTGGATGTCCAGCTGTGGCCGCAGAGCATGTCTGGGGTGGGGGGGCTCACTCAGTGACCACCCAGGGCTGAGGATTGCATCTCCTGCCATTCCTCCTGGCCAACAGTTGGGGAAAGAGAGGCAACGTGAGAGTCTGGTGGGCTCAGAGGGTGTCACTGAGGGAGTGAGTACATGTGGCAGCTTTGTCAGCCACCACTGCCTGTACAACCAGCTGCAGTTACATCAGCTGGTGCCCACACTGCCCAGTGGCTGCTCAGGGACACCCATAGCAAGTCTCTGGAGGGACAACAGAGCAGGTCTGGCAGACACTCTGCCAGAACAGTGTTAGAAATAGAAGGAAAATAACCCAAGTGACACTTTGAAGCCAGGAGGCCCTGGGCAAGAACAGCTCCTCTGGCAGTAGAAAGCTCTCTGGAGATGTTGGAAGCATCTCCTCCTGTTGGAGCTGGTGTTGCCACACTGCCACCTGACCCAGCACCCAGTGCCAACACAGCACTGGCTGAGATGAGCCACGCCCCAGGCTTCCCTTGCTTCAGGAGCTGCCAGAGAGGCCAGCAAACTCACTCCTCACTGCTAATGTGCTGACCAGGAGCCGGTGACAGCCCAGCAATGATGTCCTCCTTGCAGGCACGCACACAGGCCTCAGCAGGAAGAAGCCATTTGGCTCCGGAGGGGCAGGAGAGGAAAGCAGGAGCGCTTTGGGGATGTGCCAGCTCTGCTCCCTGCTGGGCAGGGTCTACCAGCAGCTGGTGACAGGGACACATTTACTCAGGTATGCTGCTCCCACATGGCCCCTCAGCAAGACCCAGGCAGCAGCAACACAGGGGTGAGCCACCTCCAGCCTGCCCAGGCCTCAGTTGTTTTCCCTTCTTGCGTTCAGCTTTTGATTAAAAATTGAAATCATAAACCACCAGACCAATGCCACAAAGGGGTCAGGATAGCCTTGGGGTCTGGTGCTGACACACCACTCCCAAGGTAACACTCCTCTGAAGGCTCAGGGACGCATCAGACTCTGCATCCACAAGGAAAAGGAGGAAGCAGCAGCCAGGCACAGTGCAAAGCAACGAGCCATATGTAGGTTAGAGGCAGCTGAGGATTTCCATTAGCACATTCCATTTCTACTGCCTTCCCCCAGTTACACTAAAACCTGTCACCAGAGCAGAATCACATCACCCACAGGAACTGCAGTGGAGGCAGATGTTTCAGCAACCCCCTCAGGTGGGCGTGATGGAGTTGCTCATCATTCCCCAGGCCCCACACACGCTGCCCACCTGCACACAGCAGAGCTGAGACACTCTCCCAGCACACATCATCATCTCATCAAACAAATCATCTGGGCTCTCCTCTCATCTCCTTGTCAACATAGCCACTGGAGCCAGGGGCAAAAGGGAGTGGGAAACAAGGGAGCTGGTGGTCAAACATAATGATGGGAAGAGGCATTAACTCCTCTAAGTTCAAACACTTCTGCCTGTAACAGTACTGACATGGGAATAAGGGAAAACTGAGGTATTTAATTTCATACAGAATCGGTTTCCTAGAAGCACAGATAGCCCTGCAGAGACCACCCTGAGAAACCAGGGGAAGGAGCCCTGCTGGAGAGATCACTGGCAGCAGACCCTGAGCACGGCCAGCAACGCGCTCCAGCTGTGAGGCTGTGTCACCAGCCTGCAGCCCATGCACAGGGCTGCCATCGTCTCTCCTTTATTTGCCACTTGTGAGATTACATCCAGATACTGCTTCCAGGCTGGGCCCTAGAAGATGGATGTTGGTCCTCTGGGCTGACCCTAGTTGAGGATGTGAAAGTTGTTCAAAGGCTGAAGCAGCACAAGGAAAGGCTGAGAGAACAGGGTTTATTCACACTTTGGGGAGATCCAACAGCACCCCCTAGACCTGTGACAAGGCTACTGAGAAGAGAGAGCCAGGCACTTCACTGAGAACAAGACTATTATGATGGACTAAAACCAGGCAGGTTTCCTGGAAGAAAGGCGGGGGTAGAGGGGAGAGTTCCATCTTGAGAACCTGAAGCACTGAAACAGAGGCTGAGAGGTGGTGGGATCTGTCCTTGGACATTCCCAACTGAAGCAGCCCTGGGCAACCTGGTCTGAAGTCAGTGCTAGCCCTGCTCTGAGCAGGCATTGTGCCAGAACCCTCCCATCCGAGGTCCTTTCCTTGGCATCTGCTCAGACCCGAAATAGAGCCAGTAATGCAGGGTAACACTCATGCTCTCCTGACTACAGGACGATGAGCAGGTGCAAGGAGACGGCTGTCAACACCACGGACATCTGCATGACAGACCCGTCACCACCCAGGCACACTGTAAAACACAAGTGGAAAGGACGTTTCAGCTATAAAAAACCCACTATTTCCTTCAGTTCAGCCTCTGCTCTGCTGCGTAACAGCATCACTGTGCAGTGAAAAGCAAATAATGGGAAGAGGGATGGCCACCTTCCAGCCCTGGCCAGGGCACAGAGTCCCAGTGCCAGACAACAGCGTGTCTGTCCAGTGGTCATGAGTTCTGTGAGGGCAGACGGCGCTTGTCTTTGATGGCATTCCTCTTCCTCTTCTTGTTCAGAAAGCTCTCCAGCTTTCCACTCCTCTTCAGCTCTGCATACTTCTCAGCTAACTCCAATTTCCGCTTCTCAGCTGTAGTGGAGAGGGGAGCAAGGTTTTAAACTGAAGCCGTAATCATCTCTATGGACCTGTCCTTCCTCACCTCTCCCTCCCTGGCTCCAGGCCTGGCTTGTACCCGAGTATCAGGGCTAGAACAATCCCTCCACAGCTCTGTAGAGTATCATGGACAACTCGCTTCCAGTGCTTGGAGTCCCATCAGCCCTTCTAGGTCTTCCGCAGCATGTTCACATTGAGTACTTACATTTCTTTAGGAAGAAGGGTTTCTTTCCCTGCTTGGCCAATTCCCTCTGTTGTCTCTTCAAAGATAGCTCCCTCTCCCTCAGCTTCTGCTGTTTCTTCTGTGCCTGTTCTTGCTGTGTCTGTACAGAAAGGATGGCCTGTGTCAGCAAGTGTCTAGGCAGATCTCAGGTCACACATCCTCCCTTCTAGTGCACTGCCCCACAGAAAAGGAGATGCTGCACTGAACTCACCATGCGGTTCAGGAGCTGCTGGAGTTTCTCCTTCTGCTCCATGTTCCGGCATTTTTTCAGCTGCTTCTGAATCATCTGAAGAAGAGAGCAAAGAGCTGCATGACTGCCCGCCTGCCACCTCCACTGTGAAAGGCCTTTGTGGAACCTGTCCCTGCCAAGCAAGGTCTGTATGGCCAAGGACAGGCACACAGCATCACCTCCTTCTCCTGCTTCTTGATGCCGTCCAGGAAGCTGTATGTCTTCATAAATATTTCAGGCTTATACTCTCCAGACAGGTCATCAAATCGAGGGTCTCTGTGGACCTGAAGGCAAGAAAGGCAAAGGTAAGAGCTGTGGCCAGGATTTCCCTGTTAATAGCTTCTTCCATGGATCAGACCTTGCTTTTTTTTTTTTTTTTTTTTTACCCACCATTGAAAACATCTGCAGTTTGCAAATACCGAGTCCAATAATCAAGGTGGCAGTCCCTCACAAAGTCATCATGCTTGCATCCAGTCTACCAAGCAACAGCCATTTCCATATGCAAGTCTACCACCCAGGAGCAGCTGATTCAAGGAACAGCAAGGAACAGCAGTAGAAGTGCTGCCTCCAAACACCTGCAACTCCCAACTGGCTGAACATGTGTTGTCAAGGTGATGGATTTAGGAATTTAAACCCATCTAGATTTTCAGAGATTACCTGGGTCAGGTCATACAAAGAGAAATACAAAAAGAGATCTCTAACTGTGAAAATTAACATATTAATATGATAAGTCAAGGTTATATCCAGATTAGAAACCAGATGGACATTTGAATTTCCAATGTGATTAGTACTGAACAATGACCATAGTTTGCAGTGCAGTTGGCACTAGTGGCAGTCCTTACATCTTCTAGAAACACTTGAGGAGTAACTCTAACATTTGAGACCCAAGCTGCACATTACGCAAGGCAGCAGCCGCTCCCACACCCAATCTCTTGTTCTCCCCAGAGAGACGCTGGCACTACCTGCACTTGCTACACAGTGGTCCAAGCCCTGTCCTCCAGAAACAGCCCTTCACCTTCAGCAGCCCCATTACCATGTCTGTGCCCAATCAGCACTGCTAAGGGAAGTCACCTCCTGAACTGGGGAGGGGCAGCACCCACCTTCTTTGCAACAGCGACAACTCGCCGCAAAAAAGGTACAGGCTTCTTGGCAGACATCTCCAATGGCCTGAAAAAGAGAAAAATGTTGTTAAGAGGAGCAGAGGACAGAATGAGGCCCAGGCTAATGTGTCAGGAGGTTAGCCATACCCTTGGAAGAACATTACTGCACAGTGCTGAAATGGCAGACTGCTATTCAATCCTCACTGTGACACCTACAGAGAGCAAAGAGCTGACTTGGTCAAGAACCAGGCAACACTGCTACAACCAAATGATCTATAAATGCATGGTTAAAAGAATCCTATACAAAACTTCATACAGCCCCACTGCATCAAGTGAAAACCCACCACCTGCACCAGTAAAACATGCTTATTCAATTCTTCTCCCTCCCCATGTTTTCATTCATCATGCAACAACCCTCTTTTATTCCTGGCCCATCAACTCACCCACTCTTGACTAATACTTACACTGAAAGCTAAGACCGAAGTTGGGAATTTCTGCACTGACCTGGTAGTTACAAAGACAGGCCAATTCTCCTATGGCCAGGCTCAGTGAGAAAGCATACTGTAACACAAGTGAAGGAAGGGTCAGACCCCAGGAATAAGGGCCGTACAGATTATGGCACATATCCCAAAAGAGACTTCACAGTGAATCAGGACCATGAGGACTGTGGTGACAACCAATTAAGTGAATAAATTCTCCTTGCATCACAGGCCTTTAGAGCTTGATGCTTTAGGTGTATGAGGGGGGCAGTATTACATGGGAGAACGTGGTATTCCTCTCCCCATATTACCCAGGTGCTGTGTCCTGCTATTTGTCAGCACATCAGGTAAGTTACAGAAACATGAGAAGACCTGTGAACCACCTGCTGTGAGTACCCTCAATGTGGACATTATACCCACATTCAGCAACACAGTAACATCAGGGCAGGAACACAGACAACGCCACAGGCACAAGCAAGTTTTCCAAGTCCCACTTAGGGCAGCGTTTGGTGTGTTTTTGTGTCCGCTGACGTGGCTACACCCCTGTACAATGCTCTCAAGTCGGCTTTGCTGAAACCAGCTCAGGTCCAGGGGATTTCCCTTAAGTCCCTTTTTTTAAGAAGCTCACTTCCCTAACAAAAACATAAGAGAAACTGCATGTGAGATTTACAGTGATGTATCCCTTAAAGGATAAGGAGAACTGAACAAAAACAGAATTACGCAAACTGTGTGGCAGAAATACTGTGTGAAGATGTTGTACTATACAAGATTCCTGAGACTCTTGTGTAAAAGGTAAAGCAGAAACGTTCTAAACAGCTGTTTATGACAGAAGAAACATGCATTCAGCAGAGGTTCAGAAATAGGTTAGGGAATGCCAGTGTAACAGAAGAAACCTGTTCAAATCACTTAGCTATGACTCTGAGGAGTGAAAACCAGCCAATTACTGCAAATAGAGGTTAATGGTGTGACAGTTGTTACCAGTGGGGGCCTGTAGAGAAGTCTAAAAAGATCTAATAGTTTTTGTTGTGTTGAATACATTTTATAGTCACCACATCAATAGCACTTACAGAGTATGCAAATAATAGATGTAAAGACCACTGAGGACAGGAAAAAGTCTGTGATGGTAAATACTGTAAAGGGGAAATCAACACAGACAAGCCACAGATGAAACAACAGCAGAAGGATCAGTGAAATTCCAGAACAACTGGTTGTCAGTACAACTCCAGCCAGTGGGAGCCAGGCAGAAGATGCTGATAAACTGAAAGGGGTTTAGAAAACAGCAGGGTAACTATTTCACGGCACAGGGAACACAAGAAAAGCAGTACCATACAGCTCAAGAGAGAAGCATACCATGCTGCAGGTTACATGCCTTAATATAGAGGGTGTAAAGGAACTGAGTGCTGATTGAACTATCAAGTAACAGGTGGCTGCAGAGGATTTGAACAGGATAGGATATTAAGAGATCTGAAACAGCAACAGACCATTCCCAAATTAAACACCATAGTGAAAAGCATTATTGTGTAGCACATTAAAGGAGATCTATACCAGCTTCAAGGTGATAGCAATGCTATGAGGAACTCCCAGTGTAATTTCTGGACACACACGTATTTTTCTGATCACAAAAGAATCTCTTTACCCCTTTTTGCCTTGTTGCTGCTTCACTGTAGCTTTGGCAGGTTTTGCAGTTTTTTTCCCCCCAGTCATCTGCTTGCACACTCTTGTTCTCATGTCACTCTGCACCTGCAGTAGCTCTTCAAAAGACATGAGAGATTGATCTGGAAGAGAGCACAAGACACACGTGAACCAAACAGCTTCTCAAGGCACTTCCCCAAATTCAACCAAAAGGGATGTCTCGGTCTGAGACAGTGACATGAGCACAGCAGTGCCATCCAGATATAACTGTATGGCAGAAAGAAGCCGATGCCTCTCAGCCTTTGATTTCTCTCTCATTGATCACCGCAGTCTTCAGCATTAGAATAATCTCCCTCTCTCCCCAGTGTGTCTTTGCTTCCCTCTCAGTAGCACACACAAGACCAGTTCAAAGTTTTTGCCTGGTACAAAGAGCAATACAAGCTCTGCACTGAGCTATTTTCTGGCCACGCTGCAAATTCTGAGGGGTCACCTCTCAGTCCTGACTCTTCCACTTCAACAGACTATTCTTCTCCCATCACATCTCTCACCACCTTAAGACCAGCCAGAAGGTGCAGGAAAACCACGCAGACTGTTCAGTCTGTTAAGACTTGGAGACAGTCTCTCACCACTGCACATCCACCATAGCTCTGCTCAGTCTGCAACAAAGCGATTCCCACAGCAGAGCCTCCTCAGCACCCCAGAAAATTGTAAACTACTGAAACCCAGGCATTCAACTTCCAACATCTCACTACCGACAGGAATAGCTCATAGCCTGATTCACTGGGGGAAGAACAAAACCCCGCAACACCAAAGAGCAGTTTCATATTCTAGCCTTGCTGTAAGCTCCCCACAGTGTTATTTAGACCCTGTGCATCATAAAATATTCCTTCTCTCCTCTGACAACCGACTAGAAGATCAACACAAACACCACAAGAAACAGGAAAACCAATTCTACCCAAAGTTTTCAATGAATGCACAAGATATTTTTCTGGAATTTTCTGTTGCTATGTTTCTTTTAATATCCCTCGGTGACAGTAATCTTTAACACTTCTTATAACCACAATGTAAAAATATTATCAACAATTCTTTCTGGATTTACGCCTCTGGGTGTTCAGGACTAGCAATCAGAAAACATTTCTTAAGGCAACATTTGGATATGTTCATTTTGTTCTCTGGATGATGGTAGGGGCAAGAAGGAACAGGAGGGTTTGATTGCCTCCCTTCTGATGCAGAAAGTCTTGGCAAACACCATCTGGGTGGCATTTGCCTGCTCAACACCTCTGAGCAGTGACAGGCACAGAGTCTTTCTAAGCCTCTGCAGTATTATGCACTTGGCACAAAACACCCCAACTATGGTCTAGCAAAAACAATCACATCCTGCCTACAGTGGGTTGGCCCTGGCTGGATGCCAGGTGCCCACCAAGCTGCCCTTCCTCAGCCAGACAGGGGAAAGAAAATACAATGAAAGGATAAGGACAGGAAGAGATCACTCACCAATTACCGGCACAGGCAAAACAGACTCAACTTGAGAAAAATTAATTTATTACCGATCAAATCAGAGTAGGATAATGAGAAATAAAACCACATCTTTAAAACACCTTCCCCCACCCCTTCTTCCCAGGCTTAACTTCACTCTCGATTTCTCTACCTCCTCCCCTGAGAAGGGCACAGGAGGATGGGGAATCGGGGCTGCCGTCAGTTCATCACACGTCATCTCTTCCCCTGTCACCCCATGGTGTCCCACCCACAGGAGACAGTCCTTCACAAATTGTGGGCTTCCTTCTCCTTCCTATGAGATACTGTTCTTCACAACCTGCTCCAGTGTGGGTCCCTTCCACAGGCTGCAGTCCTTCAGGAACAGACTGCTCCAGCGTGGGTCACGGGTCCTGCCAGCAAACCTGCTCCTGTGTGGGCTCCTTTCTCCACAGGGTCACAGGTCCTGCCAAGAGCCACAGGGACATATCCACCTGATCCAGCATGGGGTCTTCCCCGGGCTGCAGGTGGAGATGTGCTCCATTGTTAACCTCCATGGGTGCAGAGGCACAGCCTGCCTCACCATGGTCTTCACCATGGGCTGGAGGGGAATCTCTGCTCTGGTGAGGTCAGTCACACTGGCTCAGAGCATGGATTCACCACACCAGTCACTCTCATCTTGGCAATAACCAAGACTTTCTGCTTCAGAATCTACTCACATCGACCAAAAAATGTGATAATCATACCAAGTGCTGCCTCAAGCAATGTTTTCTTTTTGATTGTTCTGAACACCCAAGAACTCTGCTCTGTTAGCGCTCGTTAGACCTCTGCAGAGGATTAAGGAACACCGTATAGCCAGTTTGCTGTCCAAGGGACAACAGAAATGTGAATACAGCACTATTTCATTACACTGCTTCCCCAAAACACCCTTACCAATTATCTTACTGCAGTTTGATATCCTCTCTTGCTTGGGCTCCCACAAACAACCTTGCCCCTTATGTTCTTAGAAACGGCAGCACCATCACCCTTCCTGATCTTCCTCAGGCTCTCCACCTTCCCCTGTGTCACTCTTGTACAGTCACTTATTCCCTGCTTGCCCAGAACACGAAAACACCTCCAGACTGAAGAATTCTGCCCACATTCAGATAAGAGCCAAGTGCCAACACCGTTGGGGTTCACAAGGACTTCAGGAAACCAATAAATTGTAGGGCTTAGACAAAAGCATCTGCCACACGCTGTTCAAATTCCATGCTGATAGCTTTAGACTGCTGCACTACAGGAAAAATCTGTGCCAATTATACAAGTTACTGGGGTACGGAGCAATTAATCGCTATATAGGGCACTATTTTGAGTATCACTGGATACTCAAAGCATCACCAGACAAATGAAGGACTCTGAGCAAGGACAGTCAAAGGGGCAAAGAAAGCATTAAAGGAAAGTAAGAATGATGTGGAAGCTACTGTGACATTTCATGAAGACATACAAGACGCCATCACTTGCACTACAATTCTCCATTTGGCTGCAATTCCAAAACAATACTGGTAAAATATCAAAGGCTTACAAAATGTCAGTGAAAACAAGATAAAGACATCATAGAAAAAGTTGCAACATTTAGCAAAGGATTAGAAAAGAGATTTGGTATAAATCAAACAAAGCAAAGGCATGCAGAACTTCCACTGATAAAGTATTTCAGTACTGGTACGGGATACCAGACCAGACTTGAGTACCCAACACCTAATGGGGAAGTGCTTTCCACACAGTAGTATCATCTTCCCTCCTGCCGTTTTCT